ATAATGATAAAAACGAAATACTTGATTGTTACATTGATGTAATATGATGAAATATGTTCATAAACATCGTATTAGCTTACGGTATAATTTTTACTTTATTTTTCGTCGTTTATTTAATAATTTAAAAACCGATTTTGAAAACGCACCCAACCAAATTCATGATTTCGAACGTCGACTATGAACTCAAACTCATAAATTATACATCATGGAAACGTTTTATATGTCTCAAAAAAATCCCAAAGAAAACACTGCATGCTCAGTTTAAATACTTAACATAGCCGGTCTGTCCCTTTAAAGAAAGTTTATAGAAGGAGGGATTGTTTGATATTTTTTAATGTTGTCTTCTTATTTTCTCCCTATTTTAATATGAGATAATCATTAACGCTGTTAACGACTCCTAAAATGTATTCCGTTAACGCTGTTAACGCCGATAATAAAATTTGGTTAATATACAGTATAATGACTTTATCTTATTAAAGGGACTGTAAGCGTAATTTCAAACGACCCTTCAAGCAAAGATGACAATGTCTGATTTACAACGGTACCCTTAAACCTTTGACTGTTTATCGAGTACAGACAGCTCATTGTTCAAATATCTTGAAAACCACTTGAATCTCTTTTCAAATGCGCGCGGTGTACAGTTTGAACTCAACACAGCTGCGCGCTACTTGTGTACGTAAACATAACCAAATATTTTACATTAAAAAAGGATTTTAAAAATTCGAAAGAAAATATTTGTTTTCTGCAAATTTTGGAAAGTAATTATTAATATTTTCAAAACTTAAAACAGCTTACAAAGTAGTGTTAAAAAATTAGCGTATTTTTGTAGATAAATGAGAAACTTTACGCTTATACAGTCCCTGAAAGGACTGAAAGTCTAGTAATATTAACAGCTTTTCCACTATTTTAGAATAGGAAATTATTGTTGAATCACTTCTCAATGTTTAAAGTTTAAAAAAAAGTTCAATAAAGGCAAGAAATAATATCTAGGCAATAGTCATAAATATTTAATTTATGATAATTTTGAAGGACAAATAAAAAAAATATTTAATGATTCAATCACCATGACTGTTTCTCCTATCTTTCGAAAAAGAAATGTTGTATTCCGGATTGTTTGATATATGAGTGAACGGTCCCTTGAATCCAACAGGAAGCCAGATGAGTCAGTACATCCCGGACCGCTGCAGCGTAGACACAAGTCGCACTGCACATAGCCGTCCAGGGACCTGTGCTACATACCGTGCACAGACAGCTTACAGAGAGAACCTTTCTGAACGAGAGAGAAGAAGAAGATGAACCGAGTTTCAGTCATAGTGCAGAACCCTGCCTATATCGAGGAACTAGATGGAGAAGAGGTTGATCCAGCAGACCTTGCTCCTCTCATAAGTGGGAACACTCCAATCATCACTGTTCCTGCTTCAGAGGATGAAGATGTAGCTGAGGAGGTTGTAGAGGATGGAAATGAGGATCCTGATGATGAAGATCTGCCCAAGATGATGCAGAACGTCATGGAAGAGCTAGAGGAGCTTGACAGAGAAGTGATCCAAGGATTGCAAGGATTGGGCCAGGAGCTAGACAGTATCATGTCCCTTAGGGACACTAGCTCACAGCAGCCTACTGATGTCCCCAACGTTGATGTATGGGACACAGGGAAGGTCATAGAGCAAGAGTACAGGCTACACCCCGACCCAACAATGATGGAGGTCAAGGACAGGTTGTCCAATCAGGTTTTGGATCTGCTCCAGATATTACAGGAGCGGGTTGACCAGCACACCTGCAATGATAAGGATATAAGGTTGATTGAAGGACTAAAGATTATATTAGTCCTACACTCCAGACTCGGCGTCCTGGTTGATACAGTGCTTAACCGTCAAGCTAAGAAACCTTAATGATACCAAGGGATTTGGAGCTAATGTTAAGCTATTATTATTATGTACTTGATATATCAGTATACACTTATAAATGTGAGATTGAATGTATCAATAAATATTCTTATACTTGTAAATGATTTTATTACTAGGGTGTTAATTATGTACGTGCATTAAACATATAAAGTTATCTCAATATATGGAGATAGCCGAAGTATTGTGGTGCAGGTTACAAATATATATACATGACAACGCATGAGGAGTTGGGCCCGCAGAATAGGACCAACCCGAGCTGCAGCGTCATCAGGTTACAAACATGATAGATATAAACAGGTTTAAGTACTTGTATAAATCTCATGAAGTGTAGATTTTTAGATACCATTTATTGCACGTATTTGTGGATCCCAGATACCACAATAAAACATCCTGGGTCGATTCTATACTGAGTAGCCTGACTGAACAGTACGACTGACTGCATATACAGTATGTGTAGAGTACCGGCACGGATCATGAAATTTTTAGATCCGGGTGCCCACATGATTCAAAAAGAAGTTAAAAAATCACTCCCCCGGCCCCGGATAAAAAGTATTGAAAATTAGAAAAATAAAGCCTGAAAAAAGAAAATAATTGTATTCTTTTAAACTTAAAAAACAATGATCGCAGTTAAATGAATTACGCCTTTGTCACAAACTGAGATTTTCTAATTCTTACATATTTGTAACCGAGATATTTGAGCTTACAGATATAAGAATTATGATTTTAGAGTTTGTGGCAAAAGATAAATTCCTTTGAAAGCCAAAATTTCGTTGGTTATATCATAGAAAACAACCCTTTAAAACTCATTTTGAATTAGACATTTTTTGGAAAACCAACTCCACATCAGAATTGAAAATATTCTATACACGCTTCTTGGAAAATAGACAGAGAGAAATGGCATCTACTTGTACAAATCAAGTTTACAGAATAAAAATAAAGAAAATATTTTTTTTGTAAATTCAATCTAGCTGTAAGATCTGATGCAGGGAAGACATGAAACACTTAACATTACTTTCTAATTTGAAAATGGAATAGTACACCGGCACCTCTGCCCTTTAGGAAAATTAAATTCAACCTATATGAAGCATACAGTCTGACCGTCTCAACCTTGTTGCACCGGCTAGTCCTGTCCATAGAGCTAGGTACAGTACAAACTGGGACCGGAAAGATTGACCCAGCTCGGATATTTAAATGTACTGCGGCTGCCCGTGAGTATCTAATCGTATGTTTTGTCATTTATTCAGAAATACTTTTAAGATAAATTTTAAATGTATATTTGTAGTGAATTTTAGACACAATCTTTTTAATAAATCTTCTATATAGGTTTCTCTTTCCTTTAAGGGATTTGGATTGGGATCCACTTCAGTTCTTACGATATAATAACCATCAAAGTCAATATTAAAAAATGTGAAAAATCACAGGAAAAAAAATAATCTTAATTGGGTTGTCAGATGAAAAAAATGAGATCATGATACATGTCACGTACTCCGATAAGGGCTTACAGGCTACTTTAAACAAAAATAAAATTATAAAACTAATTAATAAGAAATTTATTACATAAATTTTGTACAATGAGATCAGGAGAGAACATAAACAAAATCTAAGAACATCCATTGTCATTTAATACATATTACAAAGTTAAACATTGTTATCAAAATAAATTTTAATTTAAAATTTTGTTTGTTTGATCTAATGTAATTGAAAGTCAGAGCTTTTCTTTGATTAAAGTTCTACCCAAAAAACATACTTTTTAAAATAGAATAGAATAGAATAGAATAGAATATTGTTGTAACAATGTCACGACATTCTAGGTTAAATAAATAATTGACTAGATTTACAATAGTGTTACAAATGTTGCAATGAAGTGTATCCGAGGTTTACGAGGTTTAAAGAGACTCTGCACGATATTACAAGTGACCCTCAATATAAAGATGGATATGTTGATAGAAATCCATATTTTCTGTCTCAAAATAATGACTGGTGTAAATCCTACAACTTTATAATTGGAGGGTCACATCAATTCACGTCCTCGTTCCCATTAAGAGTTGGTTAATTCGCAGTTTACATTTTAAAAACAAAACAAATTAAAAATAGTCTCAATAACTGCAATGTATGTTAGAATTCTGCAGGGTTACCCCACAGTTAGAGTGGGAATTACGAAGTCTTATCTTGTGGCGGGTAACCCTGAACAGGTTTTCAGGCACAATATATAATAGAAATAGAATCCTATTTTCTTGTAGTAACAGTACATTTATATTTTCCATTGATCACTGTACAGTACAACAAATATACTTTATCCAGCGTAAGTAAAAATAAGGTTTGGAGGGGGGGATGCAAGGGGGAAATATTTGTTTAAACTTTATACTATTACGTATTAAAACTGTAAGAATCAAATTTTATAAAAAAAAATAACATATATTGGTAACAAAAATCGGAGTTTCTTTGGACCGGGCTTGTGAAATCATTGTTTCTATTGTTTACTTTCACAAAACCAGTTTCTGAGCTGTCCTATTACGTAGGGCTGTGCACGTTCTAACTGTTTCTTGCCGTTTGGTTAAAGGTAAGTTCCAACCGTTAAAAAAGAAAAATTTCATGTAGCTTTAGTTTTAAATGTAAGAACGGAACTTTCGTTTCGTTAACATTAAAAATTAACGGGTTTTCCGTATATTTTCTAAAACCTTCGTTTTGTTACCGAAATTTTGCCCAGCCCTAGTATTGCGTCACAGTAATATATAAACAAACATATTCCTAGTTCTGCACACATTGCTTTACGTTTAATATTTTAGTATATAGTTCACAGCCGACATAAACATGTGCATAAAAACATGGAGGTGTACACTGTACAAGCAATATGTACTGCGTTTGCACATTTTACTTTGTAATTTATTTCATTTAAAAAAAATTTTTTTTTTTTTTTTGATAGAAAAATACTTTTGGTTGAAAATCTTTTTCATTAAAGTTTCTTAAAATAAAATCAATTTAGACCTCTTGTGTGGAGTATGGTCAATGTTCTTAAAAGTTCGTAATAATCAAATTATCAAATATGATCTAAGATATAATTATTAACTCTCAGCATTTTTCATTTTCTGTCCATTATTCATCAGCATTGATGACGTTTTTAGCTTTTAAACGATTATTTCTCTGATCACTTTTTTAGGTGTATCTTGGGAACTTTGGTCGGAGTGGTCGTAGTAATTCTTTTCTCTATTCAGTGTACCGTTCAGTGGCAGACCTACAAATACAGGGGGTTAATTCATTTTTTCTCACAGAAGTCATCTTTGATATAAATGAATAAAATATACATATATGATGTAAATATATGTTACAGGGTGCTCAAAAAAAACGGGGAATATTGGATCAACAGACTTGTGTGTAATCGAATTTTCAAGATTGAGACCATTTCAAAAATCTAATTACAATTTCCTCTTCAATAAGCCTAATTTTTAGACTTGTAGATCTAAAAATTTGGTAAAAAAAATAAGATAATCTCCGCTTGCACAATTTTATATACAATGTTAGGTTACAGTTTATTACAGTAAAATTGTTACTGTTAGATCTACAAGCCTAAAATTGGGCTTATTAAATCGCAAATTGTACGTAAATATCCAAAATTGTCTCAATCTTGAAAATCCGATTACAAGCAAGTCTGCATAGACACTTGTGTGCAAACGGAGATTATCTTATTTTTACCAAATTTACTCACTCCAGTTGGAAACTTTAGGATCCTATGATATTGTTATTTTTGATCTACAAGCCTGAAATATGGCTTATTGGATCGTAAATTGTAAATATTTTTTAAATGCCCTCACTCTTAAAAATCCAATTACAAACGAGTTTTTAGACCCTTATTTCCCGTTTTTATTGAGTTATGACACAGACATTTCAAAAAAGAAATTTATAAAGAAGTGTGAAGATATGTTGTTAAAATAAAGCTCAAAAATACTATATGCAAGATGACATCATAAAGAAGATATTTTTTAATATTGGAAGATTTCTGATTTAAAAAAAAATATGAAAAACTTATATCATTTTTCAATATAACAACATTGTAAATTTTGATTAAAAAATCCTATATAATATTTGGGAAGCATGTTTAATAAGAAACACATAGTCTATAGATTATACAGATTTTCCTTCGAAGATGTAAAATAATTCATTTATTAGCATTTTTCCTTCTTTTTAAACTTAACAGTTATTTTTAATAGTTGTCTTGAATCCTAACTTCATTTTCAATTGAATTAAATGTTAATCAAGAAAATATCCGATAGAAATCCGAACTATAAAATAAACAAGTTTCATGATATTTTCACTGTATCCTAGAATGCAAGAATATGCATGACACATCATTTTTACTAAAAGTGGATGGTTCAATTGGTGTACCGTCACGTTTCCCCTTATACACTATTCAGGGTGTTTTTTTTTTATAAAGTTTTAGTTTTTTTCGTTAAAAGATAGATGAAAGTCCATCAACAAAAAGCTAGCAAATCGTTAGTACTTTTCAAACATTCAAACAAATGGTAAAAATAAAAATATTTGATTAATTGCGTTTCTGATCAGAAATGAATGCCAATACCGACATTCTGCTGTTTTAAATGAATTATGAAAAACTGCTGGACCTAAAGTTTAAAAATTTGCTTTATTTTGTAAATTCCCGAGTTTGAAGAATGAGAGGGTTGTGTCCTGTATTGACAAAATGTCCACAGTTCTTTACAAATTGCTGGCAATTCAGGAATCAGGGTTTTACATTTTACCAATGACAAGAACACAGAAATACAGAAAAATAAAAACTTTTTTTTTGTCTTTAATAAAATGAATAAACAAACTGTTCCCACCTCTCCAAAAAAGCAATTTTCCGTATATTTATTGTTTAGCCCTTTGGTCCGCGGCTTCCTGGATGGTTTAGAGAGAAAATGGGCCCTCCCTGGACAACGTGAGAATTTCCAGGATTGCAGGACAAAATAAAACCAAGTTGGTCCCAAAAATCCCGGCCAAAATAAAAAAATGAAGCCAGGAATCCCGGGCAAAATCAAACCAAGTTGGTTCCAGGAATCCCGGATTAAATCAGACCAAGTTGGTCCCATTAATCCTTGACAAAATCAGACCAAGTTGGTCTTAGGAATCCCGGATTAAATCAGACCAAGTTGGTCCCATTAATCCTAGTACACCGGCACCTCTNAAGAATCCCGGGCAAAATAAGATCAAGTTGGTCCCAAGAATCCCGGGCAAAATAAGACCAAGTTGGTCTCAGGAATCCCGGATTAAATCAGACCAAGTTGGTCCCATTAATCCTTGACAAAATCAGACCAAGTTGGTCACAAGAATCCCGGGCAAAATAAGACCAAGTTGGACCCAAGAATCCCGGGCAAAAAAAGACCAAGTTGTTCCAGGAATCCCGAGCAAAATCAGAAAAAGTTGGTCTCAGGAATCTCGGGCAAAATGAAAACAAATTGGTCCCAGAATTCCTGGGAAAAATAAGACCAAGTTGGTCTCAGGAATCCCGGGGAAAATGAAAACAAGAATTCCTGGACAAAATAAGATGACATATATAAATTATTATTTACCTTGTATATTAGATCTAAGTTTAGCTGGGACGGCATACTGATCACCATTGGCAAAATATTGTCCATGATCGAACCCGTTAAAGCTGGATTCCCCTTGGAATCTTTTCAGGTCCTGTTGAAGCCCCTTGGGCTGGACCAGGTTAAATCCATTAGGGTCAGTTAGATACTTGGTAGTTAGGTCTGCTAAATATTCCTCGGGTTGGGGGTAATGAGCATAATCAGCATCAAACCTAAAATATCATTTTTATCATATTTAGAAAACATTACATTGTACAAAATTTATTTTACTCTCAAATTGCTGAAATATGGTTTTGTAGACGACAATTCATATTAAAAACTCTAAATATTGCGAGATCAAATTGTCAAGGTTTGAAAGATGAAAGGCGTACACCAAGAGAAATTGAAATATGGTTAAAACTGTAATTTTTGCATAAAAAGTACAGCTGTCAAAAAAAAATCACAAATAGCATCTTTAAATTTAGATAAATTTGTAATAAAAAGCCTTAAGGGATTATCCATGGAATAAAAAGTTATCCTCGGGTACAGATATTTGTCATTTTGAACACAAATCGGCCATTTTGGGAAACCCTTTGGCCATTTTTGCGACACATATTGGCCATTTTGGGACACCCATTGGCCATTTCGGGACACAAATCGGACATGCTCCTTTTAGCATTGAATTAAAGGTTTTCTGTTGTGAATCCTTTAAGACTATATTTTAAAAGAAAATCGTACTTAAATTACGTTGACAGGTCCCTTTAACTAAATAAAGTTTTGCAATTAGATGTATAAACATTAGTAGAATGGATTTAGTTTAAATAATAATTAAACTGTTGCAGAATTTGAGTCTAAAATGGAAAACTATTTAAAACAAAGAAGGATAAAATTAAACAGGGTTTTAGTTTGAAAAGAAAATGCAAGACTAAGGAGTACTGCATACATTTAATTCTTAGTTAGCACGAAGCAAAGTCAGTCTTAATTCTTTAAACCTAAGGTCCTGATTCGTAGTCAATTCAGAACCTATTTTAAACCGTCAAATGTAGATTTTCATATTTGCAATTTATACTTTTTTGTTTGATTATAGGGTAATCTGTCTTTGCTAAATTTCAATAGATCTTACACCACGTTAGGATTCATTCACACACATCTTTAGAAAAAAGCACAGTGATTGAATAACAATAAGTAGTGGAATTAGGTACACTGGGTTTAACTACACGTAAATTTAAATCAGCACAAAAGTGAATTGGTTTAAGTTTAGTCTACAAAGTTCAACTACTCTTTGTTTTCCATGAAGTTTGATCCCAGTAAGATGAATTATTCCCTATCCATTAGATCCAGGTGGGTTTAAACCTATATATTTACCTATCCATCTGATCCAGGGAGGGTTTAAACCTATATATTTACCTATCCATCTGATCCAAGGAGGGTTTAAACCTATATATTTACCTATCCATCTGATCCAGGGAGGGTTTAAACCTATATATTTACCTATCCATCTGACCCAGGGAGGGTTTAAACCTATATATTTACCTATCCATCTGATCCAGGGAGGGATTAAACATATATATTGACCTATCCATCTGATCCAGGGAGGGTTTAAACCTATAGATTTACCTATCCATCTGATCCCGAGAGGATTTAAACATATATATTTACCTATCCATCTGATCCAGGGAGGGTTAAAACCTATATATTTACCTATCCATCTGATCCAGGGAGGGTTTAAACCTATACTCGTCTCCTGGAACGTTCCAAAGAGAATCCTGGGAGTTAACTGAGTCTCCAACTCCTATAACATTAAATAGAAATTATTGATATAATGACATGGACAGCCTAACATTATATACAAATATATTTATGTAGTTCTTTTTAATTACACCATGCCATTTTGATCACCATGTACCCAGTACCCCAGCACTTTTGTGTATTAAGCAAACCCAAGGGTTTTTTGTACAACGTACTTAACACTAGCACTTTTGCACATGTGTACGAAGCCCGAGAACTTTTGATATCAAATGATGCTCTACACTTAGTTTTGATCATACTACAAAGCACAGCCACTTTTTTGCATAATATAAAGCCCGGCACTTTTGTACATAATTTAAAGACCCGGCTCTTTTGTACATACTAAAAAGACCTGACATTTTGTACATAATATGAAGCCCGGTTCGACACTTTTGTATATTATACAAAGCCAAATCATTTGTGTACATTATAAAAAGCCCCGGCACTTTGTGCGTAAATATTTACTTAAATGTATTTATTTGTCATAAACCTTCTGTTATTAATATATATATATATATATTTAGATATATAGTGTTCTAATCAATAACAATCAATTTACTCGAATAAGAAATGTATCAATCAAACCACTAATTTGTCTCTACACCCTGTAAACTCAAATAATAAAGTTAAGGAATGCGCAAAGTTTTTGATTTGTTACAAAAATATTACTATAAAATGTAAACATTATTGGATCAATTTTGCAGAAGACATTAACAGAATAACTCGGTTCACAAACTCTTAAATAATCTCATAAAGGGAGCTGTTATCGGAGTTTTAAATAACCCTCTATTGGTAGAATGGCATGTCAAGTTTAATACTCTGTAAACCTTTACAAATTTAGATATCTCTGTAACCGGTGATATATATACATAAAGTGTCATGTGAAATTCTTCTACAGTTCTTTTAACTAAAAAAACTGTTATTTAAGACTTTTTTTGTATCATTGTATAAAGTTGTTTGCAAACCTTAAGAATTTGATTAACTGGAGATAGTTGCATGAAGAATTCATTTAAATTGTGGAAAATGTCTGTTTTTCTAATTCAAATTAATTCAATTCATAGAATTGGTTGTATCAGACAAAAGGAATAAAACATCAAATCTAAATTAAAATAAAATTTTCTTTAAATCTAAAATTTCAATTTAAAATTTCAAAATTAAAATTCCTAATCTAGAACTTTGAATTTCAACTTAATTTTAAAAATTAAGCAATTTTCTCAAGAATTTATTGACATTGATTATGCCAGACTAAAAATTGTGAGGTAGCCCTAACGGTTTGTCCAACTAAATGTTTGTCGTTTTTTTATGCTTTCGAATGTTCGCTTTTGAGAAGAAAAGTATTTTAATCTAACTTTCATCATTGTTACCTCCCGAGCTGTTTTCTCCAATTTTCCTCTGCAGATTATTGTCAGTTATTCCGTCAACTTCCTTGCTTAACGCAGTGATTTTATCATAGGACAGGGAGGTATGCAGCAGATCAGGCTTAGATACAGACATATCTTCTTTCTGCAATAAACTTGAGTTCTTGGAGTGACGCTGATGGCAGAATTTAGCTAGAACTATTAGAGAGATGACAGCTGTTACAAGAACACCAACAATAACAGCCACTAACCAAGACTCACCATCAACGGAAAACAGGGCCTGCTCCTACAAAAATAAAATGGTAATTCTTGGTCAAGCGGATCATAACAAATTTTAGATAGAATAATTAAAGCGTTAAACACTTTTTTTAAAACTTTATAAGCAATAAGGGTAATTTCCTAGTATACGATTTTTGGACCCCCCCCCTTCCAAAAATCGTATACTAGGACAGACCCACAATAAGTTTGTAAATTGTAAAAATCAATCTTATACAATGCCAATGAAGCCAACGTATAAACAGTTAAGGGACTTCGCAGTCGCATAGTTTCAAGTTACTCTCTATTTATGTCCGATTCGCACCCTAAAATGTTTGTTTGATAAAAAGGGTAACATTGTAAATTAGATATTTAATACATTTTAAAGAAATGTTTTTATTATTGAATTTGTTACCTGTATTCTATCAACTACACTAGCCTCAGTGTAAGCTCCACACAGCATATCATTACTCTCCAAACATAGTCGGATTCGAACATTCTGGAATTCTATATCCGAGCTGACAGCAAACTTGTAAGGATGATGTTTTAGAGACACACTCCTGCAGAAACAATAGCATTTTTAAAACTAAGTTAGAAACGGTATTTAAAAATCTTGAATTGAACTTCTGATTTTGAACAGATGTTTAAGTGTTCTCTGAACCAAATTTTTAGATATTTGACTAAATATTTAATAAAAATTTTCTCACAAATTAAACTCAATTTTAATCTAAATTTGAGAAATACATTTTTAATTAGGAAATTGAGTGATCCTGCATGAATCTACTTGTATCAGTGAATTTCTTTTCAATTTTAGCAAATAAATATAATTATTTGAAAACTAATTTTTGGTTATTGGAAAAGAATCACACATTGATCCTTATTGAGGGAGGAATAAAACTAATTATAATCCTCCCAAGAAAAGAAAATATTTATACTTTTTTCAGTAATTTTTAAAGAAATATCAGTTCTTACTGTGGTCTCTCCATATGGATAGAGAAAAATGTCAACGAACGAAACCAATTCATTTATTCTTGTCATTTTTTTGTTTTTTTTCAAAATAATTGACCTTGTCCTTTGAAAAAAGCAACCTATGTCCTACACCGTTTCAGCTTAGAGTATGTTTAGAAAGACACGGGAGGATCCATGGTGTTTTAATAGGAAACTACACAATAATCTATATTTCTGGTCTTTTGGATCATCATTCAATGCGCTCCTCATTCTAAAAATTACCAAACAATCCCTTTATTTATCCTATGATAACATTGCTGAACAATCCCTTTATTTATCCTGTGATAACATTCCTGAACAATACCTTTATTTATCCTATGGTAACATTGCTGAACAATCCCTTTATTTATCCTATGGTAACATTGCTGAACAATCCCTTTATTTATCCTATGGTAACATTGCTGAACAATACCTTTATTTATCCTATGATAACATTGCTGAACAATCCCTTTATCTATCCTATGATAAAAGTGCTGAACAATCCCTTTATTTATCCTATGATAACATTGCTGAACAATACCTTTATTTATCCTATGGTAACATTGCTGAACAATCCCTTTATTTATCCTATGATAACATTGCTGAACAATCCCTTTATCTATCCTATGATAACATTGCTGAACAATCCCTTTATCTATCCTATGATAAAATGGCTGAACAATCCCTTTATCCTTTAATTATCTATAAAATGCTAGTTTTCCTAAGATGTGTCCAACTCTGTTCCTCCGTCATCACCTCTATCTTCCCCATCAGGTTCAGCGGGTAGTTGTTCACTTTGAAGGAAATAGATTTAGTTGATATCTCAAAATATAAACTTTCTGCACGGGGTATTTGAGACACGTCGATCTGAGCACAAAACCATTCAATTTCTTTATTAAAAATTAGTCCTGTTACATAGACTAGGCAAATTCGAATTCATTTTTTCCAGTTATCAAAAAAAAACTTTATTAAACTGAAAAAAAATTCTAAAACTCGAGAATGTTTTTTCAAAACTCGAAATTTTTTTCCACGAGCAAAGCCGGCCACTTCTGCTATAGTTTTTATGAAGTTGAAAAAAATATTTTTTAGAATGTGAATTAATTAAATCAAGTGTTTGGTATGAGTTTAATTGGTTTCCTGAGTAGTGATTGACACTTGTTCTGACCAGTTAGATTCCCCCAGGGGGTTGATAGCCTTGCTTCGGACAATGTAGGTTGTATGTTGTTTTAGGTCAGATAGTTTACAGTTCTAAAAACAAATGTTTATTTTTAAAATGAGTTAGTTTTTGTTTTGTTTTCAAGAGTCTTGATAAAATATCTAAGAAGTTTGACATGCATGAAAAATTTAAAATATTTTTTTAACACAAAACAAAAGTTTTTTTCTGTATGAAGCCAAGGGACTGTTAACGTAATTTCAAGTGAGTCTGCATGCAAAGATGGATTGCAAAATTCACTACCCTATAAAGCTTTCTTCATATAACTATGAATTAGATATTAATAATAGATATGCCTCTGCACAAGTTACTTGCGCATTTCTATTGTAGGAAAACGGTCAGAAATTATTTTAACAAACGACATCAAAAAAATCATCCATAGTATTGAACAGAGAAAGGTTTCAAGAGTACAGTTTTGAATTGGACATCTTTGCATGGAGGGTTACTAAAAACTATGCTATAAGTTTATAAGTTTGAATCAATTATTAAAAAAGAAAAAGAAATATCCAATCCTAGATAAGGTAAAACCTACCTTAGTTCTACAACCAATCTCTTTAGCATCGGAAATGCTTCCTCCCAGTTCTCTATACTGAAGTTTAAACATGGTATTGTTGAGTCCGCCATTAAAGTTCTCAACCCAGCTCATTACAATACTGTTTGGTCCTGTATCCGTAGACTCAAGATTACTGGGACTTTCAGGTCGCCCTTTCTTGACAAGATTTACGACTGTTCGAACAGATCCCATGTTGTTCCCAGCCTTACAAACAAACTCACCATAGAAGGATGGATTGACATTGGATACTCGTAGGATTGATTCATACTCGTTATCTCCAATCTGTCTCATAGGAATCTAAATTAATTGTCCAATTATAAAGTTGCAACATTAAAATCCTTGGATTAACTACTTTCCAGCATTAATTAAGATTAAATAACTGGAATACATTTGAAGTAAATAATCAACATTTTAATCAAAGAAAGAGTAATTTAATACCTCGTAGAAGCCTACTTTGCTTCTTGCGGCAGCATTCTGCCATTCCCATTCAAAGGAGGGAGCAGGAAAGGCTTTCATCCTGCAGGGTATTTGAGCCATCTCTCCTGGATCAGCAGCTATTTTATTGTGCTTATGTGACACAATAGGTTTATGCTCCACCTTCAGTACTACTGCCGATTGTGCTCGACCAACATTGTTCTCAAACTGACAAACATATTCTCCTGCATCAGAGGGATGGATGCCGTCTGTAGCTTCACGGGCAGATCCAGTAAATCGTATTGAGGAGATAACGTTGGTGGTAGTTTGAGGATAGCTCTGCTGGGCACTAACGGTTACACTAAACATTCTGCTATCTGATGGATCAATTGGAGCTCCATCTTTAAACCATGTTACATCAGGTTTAGGTTTACCAATGCCGCTGCAGGTCATTATCAGTCCTGTATCTCCAACCTTTCGGAGAATACGTTCTTGTAGTCCAGAGACTATCCTTGGTTCCTGTTCCACATTGAGCTCCCAGGTTACAGGAGTACCATCTCCCAACTCGTTATATGGTTTGCAAATATAGTTTCCCCCGCTGTCCATTCTAATCGGACGGATGGTTAAGGATGCTTCAGTTGAGAGAACTTGTGTAGGGTTTCCTTCCTTCCACCATGTAAATTTAGGTTCCGGAAACCCAGACGGATTAGCTCCACATGTCAGAGTGATTGATTTACCTGAACCAAGGAAATTATGCTACATACAGAATTGCAATAATGTAATTGGATCTTCTAAGAAAACCAGCCGAGCCATGAAATTCCATCAACCCAATACATTAAACAAGATAAAATGGTAATTTCAAATTTTAACTGGTTCTTTTAGCTTTACACATATATTCTTTAGAAATTTGTGAAACTAATCTCTATACCTTCAATTCCAGCTGGCCTGCTAGGTTGAACAAACCCTACTCCAGGTTTGTGACGAACTGCAAGTTCTATGGTTCCGTTTCCAGTTCTGCGACGGGTGTTTTCTCCACTTGGGTCTAAACATTAGTTTTTTATAGATGGTTCCTATATTTTGTTCAGTCTCATACATTAAAAATTCATTTTACACAGACCAAATACAAAAATTATATACAATTTAAAACTTATAAAACTTTGATATTGGAACAATGTTATGATAAAAAGTTGCTGAATAAGAAATAAGACTTTCAGATTATTAAAAAAACTATTCCATTTGTTGAATTGAAATGTGTTTAACTTTCTGAATGCATATTTGGATTTTTTAAAGGTTTTTTTCAGTTTGGAAATGCACTAACTTCTGAAGTTTCATGGTAATTGGTAAATTTGTATTAATAAAATACATATTGAATGAATTTTTAACATGAATAGTATTTATGTTCTAATCATATTAGAATCAAAAAAATTAATAATAATATTTTGACAAAAAAATCAGAAAATATTTCTTGACTCCTACTAGCGGCCTCCTAAGTTTGAAAAGTTGGTTATAGTATTCACTTAAAGAAATATATTTTCTTAGCCCTAAAAAGGTTTCAAGGTTTTACAAAAATCTTTTGAATTATGATTGGTTAAAATTTGCCAAGTTTAAAGTCAAAGCATAAAAGTGACATGCTTTCTTTTTCAGGGGAACGAATGAAACCAATTTTTTCATAAATGAATTGAGTCTCAAATTTTTTAATTCTTATATATTTGCAACCTAATGGTGTAAACCTTGATATTTAAAACTTAGATTATCTGATCTAACATGAATTCATAGTTTGAAGTATCTTACGTCTACAATATTGTGTTGCAAAGATAAAGGGATTTGAAAATCAGAGTTTGTGACAATAACAATAACATTTTACAAAGAAATAAAATATCTCTTGTTATTGAAATGTTTTATGAACTTACCAATAAGATTAGTAGCAGAGCAAGAGTATACTCCTGAATCCTGGGGAGATATATCCTTGATGTTTAGATATTCTCCTTCCTGTTCAAACCCAGGGGTATCATGCCGTCGCCACTAAACAAATAATCAATTTTCAGAGGAAAAAACATGGATATTGGATAACTATGTGTTCTTGATTCAATGATAATGCTTTAAAGGGTAACATCATTTGTTTATCTAAATGGACCGGAAGCGTAATATCAAGGGACCCGCGTGCAAAGCACAGCAATGTCCGATTTACAACGGTACCTTTTGTATGATCAAATATAAAAAAGAAATCTATGACTTTTTTGTATTTTAAACGGTTTATCTTTATTTTTGGTTTCTCTGGAAAATCGACTTGCTTCAACTTTGGAAACTTCACCATAATTAAACACTAAATTCTCCATCTTTGTTGCAACTTTTCTCTTTTTGCTTCATTATATGCAACAAAACGTGTACTGCTGTTTCATCCTGCCAGAGCAGTGATGATTTTGTTTACATTTTATTCCAGATTCTACAGTACACTGTTTAGAAACATAAAGTTACTTGTAAACCTTCCTTGATGTTTCCAAGGGAAATATTTACAGTGTGGCCCATAAATTAATACATAGGAAGACGACATTGCATTCAAAATATGATATAATGAACATGAAAAACAACAATTGTGCAGTGTCCGCAACTTGGTAAGTTCAAGCTACTGGTGAAACTTCTTAATTTATAACAACATCAAATAAACAGAAAAGAATAATGAAATGTCGTCATTTTAATCCAGAGTTTGATGGGTCCTACTGTACCAACAAAAAACTGTTTTACCTTGAATGAAACAGGATGAGGGTTGGCTGTTACTTTACAATGTATTCGAACTTCTTCCCCTGCATTCACCTCTTTAAACCTTTCCAGGGATATCTAAACATTGGATACAATATATCAAATATATCTAGCATTGGATACAATATTTCCGGGAATATCTAAACAATGGATACAATATTTTCAGGGATATCTAAACATTGGATACAATATACTAAAGATATCTAAACATTGGATACAATATATCAAATATATCTAAACATTGGATACAATATATCAAATATATCTAAACAGTGGATACAATATTTCCGGGAATATCTAACCAATGGATACAATATTCTCAGGTATATTTAACCTTAGATACAATATTTTCAGGGATTTGTAAACACTGGATAGTGGATACAATACAATACATCCAGGGATATCTAAACATTGGATACAATATATCCAGGGATATCTAAACATTGGATACAATATATCCAGGGATATCTAAACGTTGGATACAATATTTAAACTCCAGAATAAGGAAAATGAATTTCTTTATTCCCAGGATGTCTTAGAAAAATTGTTAAACAAAATAAATTAATTCTTGATTCAATTGTTCTGTGCAGTGTGCGCCCAATTCGGGTTTCAAAACCCATTCTATAAATATATGAACATTCATTTAAGCTGTAAAAATACATTTAAATGAAATTTCACACCCGAGTTCTGAATCTGAGAAGTTTATGATTCTATTTGCTCTATAGAATAGTGAACACTGGACTTTACTTCTCCTATAATGATTTATATGTTTTATCCTTTTTTTGAAGAAAAGATTTTCTTTTTACAATACCTTTTTAGTTCTCCTATAGGGAAGATGTAAAATTTGTTATTGGTAAAAATATGTATAAGCAAAATATTTACTTTACGCTTGTTTAACAAACCCTGAAAATAATAAAAATAAAAATAAAGTTTCATATGCAGTAGTGTATAGTGTATCGGAATTGCGTACATTTTTTTCGAAATTAAGAAGATAATCCTATACTAAGAACATGTTTCTGATGCATGGTATTGATATTGCTACGGGAAATGAGAATACCGTCGAAATATATTATGTCCCTTAGTGACAATTATAGTAATATTTTCCTTAGCAATATCACTAATACAGAGCAGATTTCTTAATTATTTACAGTCTAACATTCTATTGAACCAATATTTCGTTCGTTATTTTGAAATGGTTTCCGGTTGTTCGATGTTACGAACAAAACGTTAGGATATATTTAAACACTGTGATACCTTGGGTTCATGAAGAACGATTAGATTTAATTCTCCTTTCCCAGTTTGTCCAAGTTGATTGTCAGCTTCACAGAAATATGGACCCTCATCCCGCCGGTCAACTGTAGGTATCACGTGTCTAAACAAATTAAGAATATAATATGGACCCTCATCCCGCCGGTCAACTGTTGGTATCTCGTGTCAAAACAAATTAAGAATATAATATGGACCCTCCTCCCGCCGGTCAACTGTAGGTATCACGTGTCTAAACACATTAAGAATGTAATATAGACACTCATCCCGTCTGTCAACTGTTGGTGTCACGTGTCTACAAAAAACATAAAAATATTTCTACAAGTTTTTTTTTATAATTACCATGATGGATTTTTTGTTTTGATGAAATATAACTTAAGTGTACAGAAATATTTAGGATTATTTATTTAATAATTGCTATGTACCTAAAGTTGATGTTGTGTTCCTGAAAGTGGATGCTATGTAATTGAAAGTGATTGCTGTGTACCTGAAAGTGGTTGCTGTGTACCTACAAGTGGTTGCTATGTACCTGAAAGTGGTTGATGTGTACCTGAAAGTGTTTGCTATGTACCTAAAAGTTGTTAGTGTGTATGCATCTGAAGTGGTTGCTATGTACCTGAAAGTGGTTGGTGTGTATGTATCTGAAAGTGGTTTCTATGTATCTGAAAGTGGTTGGTATATATGTATCTGAAGTGGTTGCTATGTACCTGAAAGTGGTTGGTGTGTATGTATCTGAAAGTGGTTGCTATGTATCTGAAAGTGGTTGGTATATAAGTGCCTGAAAATGGTTGCTATGTTCCTGGAAGTGTTTGCTTTGTACCTGAAAGTGGTTGCTATGTACCTGAAAGTGGTTGCAATGTACCTGAAAGTGGTTGCTATGTACCTGAAAGTGGTTGCTATGTACCTGATAGTGGTTGCTATGTACCTAAAAGTGGTTGCTATGTACCTGAAAGTGGTTGCTATGTACCTGAAAGTGGTTGGTATCTATGTACCTGAAAGTGGTTGCTATGTACCTGAAAGTGGTTGCTTTGTATCTGAAAGTGGTTGTTATGTACCTGAAAGTGGTTGCTATGTACCTGAAAGTGGTTGCTATGTACCTGAAAGTGGTTGCTATGTACCGTCCCTCTCTCGTCCATTTTACGTTTTCCACCTCTGGTCTTGCATCAACCTAGCAAAAACTTGAATATCAAGAGTTGGAGGCATCTTCAAAAATACACGGACAAACAATCGGCTTCAGCCTTTTATCACATAGAACTAAATTCTTAAAGATATTTTATTTTCAATCACGTTTGAGATCACATTACGTTTTTTGCGCAATAGTCCCGCCAACTTCCGGTGCGAAAGGAATTGAGTTTTTGCCACAACCTTAATCCCTATATCTTTGCAATGTCATAGACCTTAGATATTTTAAACTATGAATTCTGTTAGATCAAATAATCTAATTTTAAAATAAGTTGCAAAATTATAGGAATTAGAACTTATGAGTTTGTTACAAAGACAGACTCAGTTCCTTTGCACGATTTTTTTGCTATCAATATTCTTTAGCTAAGAACGAATAATATTGCAGTATTTTTTGGGTATTACAGATTTACTAAAAGATTTGAGATTAATGAAAACATGAAAAGAGAAAATAACTCCTTCAAAACAATTGAAAGCTAAGAATATATTTATTTAAGATTATCTATCTTATAAAATTATGACTTGTGATGATGTTAAATAACTAAAGGATTTCAAATATACAGGAGTAGAAGCTATGATGACTACTACAGGACTAGAATATTTGAGGACAAAAATGGATAAGAATCAAAGAAAACGAGTTCAGGACTATGTCTCAAACAGGACTAGAATATATGAGGACTGTAACAGAACTTTAATCTATGGGGACTGAAACATGCATAGAATCTATGTGGACTAAAAGAGGACTGGAATATAAAAAGACTTTAACAAGACAAGAATCCGTGAGGACTAAAACAGGACTAGAATCTATGAAGACTTTAACAAGACTAGAATCTATGAGAACTAAAACAGGACTAGAATCTATGACGACTTAAACAAGACTAGAATCTATGAGGACTAAAACAGGACTAGAATCTATGAAGACTTAAACAAGACAAGAATCTATGAGGACTAAAACAGGACTAGAATCTATGAAGATTTTAATAAGACTAGAATGTATGAGGACTAAAATAGGACTAGAATCTATAATACTTTAACAAGGCAAAAATATATGAGGACTAAAACAGGACTAGAGTATATAAAGACTTTTATAACAAGGAGGACTAAAACAGGACTAAAATCTATATAACTGATGTTCAGGAACGGACGTTGAAAATTCGAGTGATATAGTCGTTGTCTCTAGTCTGAAAAGTGTTTAATTTTGACATGTTTCACCATTATTTCTGCGAAAGAAAGCCGCACGTTAGATTTCAAAAAATGGAATTTTAAAATCAACATAATTACGAAAAGAGTCTCTTTAAACCTATATTTGCATGAGAATAGCCTAGGTTGGCTGGATTCTAGTCTAGTTTATTAAACCCATCATACTTAGATCTGATTTAAAGTGTCTAGGCCACTGTCCCATGTTACAATAGATAGGGAGGTGTAGTGGACCCCCTCCTGTATATAGTTGTGGACCCCCTCTTGTATATAGTTGTGGAGCCCCTGGTATATAGGTTTGTCATGCCCTCTGCTGGGTAGTTTGGACCAGATTAAAGAACAGAAGGTAAAAGATATAATTTCATGTAGATACCTTCCATTAAACAAGCCAGCAGAGGGGCAGTATTTTATTCATAAACGCTTGCATCTCTTATATTCATATTTGACCTATTTGACCTCTGAAATTTTTAAAATTAATTATCCCCCCCCTCCCCTTCCCAATATGACAAAAGAGTGGGGGGGGAGAAAAAGTATTTTTGAAAGGAAACAACTGTGGGATTAGATGGGTGCAACCTTTTTAGCAAAATATAGAAAATTATTTTTTCAAGATAACCGGCCCGGCAAGAACGTTTAGAGGTAATTTTTATAAAAAAATCCCGAGCTGGAAACTTTTGAATGGTGGATATCGGGATTGATGCTTGATCCACTCTTTTTCTTAATCTCGAGATTTAATAAGGCTTGTTCTCCTCTTGTTATTATTCTCCCTTTAAGTGTGTATTTTTACGAGAAGCTTTAACAATAATGATGAAAAAAGATTATTCGGAGAGTTTGAAAATGTTAAGAAAAGTTTTTCAATATCAAGGAATCCTTGGATCCTTTCTACTTCCGGTTGAGCAGATAAAACGGAAGTAGTAAAGTACACTCAGCCTTGAAATCATGGTGGAAAAAAATATATTTTAAGCGCTCAGCGCCCCAATATTTTACCACATTTACATTTAATTTTTTACTCATTAGGACAATTCTAGCATTCTGTTCAGGTAAAAGATATGAAAATCATAATTATATTTTGCGTGAAACTTGGAAACAATTATACAGCCGCTCTTTGTTCACTTATAAACCTGTATTTAAAAAGGCTTGTTTATATTCACAAATCTTAAATCGAAATGTCGTCTTCAATGAATTAATATAAACGACGACCACTGTACCTAAAACAGTCAAAGTTTGAAATATCAAAGGTTTTCATCAACCGGTAGCGCAGCAATTATATTACGATGTATTAGAAAAATAGAATTTGTGGTGAGTGTTCAGTTTTCTTATGTTAAATCCTATATATTTTTTATTTGAGTATATAACTCAATTTAGATTTTTAAAGTTTAAAACCACTAGAAAATTGTTCCATTATTAACACAAATAAAGTTGAACCCCTTGATGGATAGATGAGAAACCTAATCAACTTTTAGTTCTTTTTTACTTTTTCACATTTGACAGAAATATTAGACATTTTTTTTTGATTAATCTAGCAAAACCAGCAGAACTTTTGTGACAGGCAACGGGACTTGTTCATCTTTTAAGAGTCTGTTTACACATTTTTAAGTACCCTTTAACATAAGAACTATTTTCTCGTGTTTTTAACTATAAAGGGTCAAATTTCGACAATTCTATTTATTGACTCATTGACTTAAATCCGCAACTAACTTCTTTTCATCCGGACAAATAAGGATATCTCATTCTTCCTTGATCAGAGATGGTTCATAGGGTAACTTTGTGAATCAGATTTGTCCCTTTATAAATGGAGGGCTACTAGAAATTTAGAAATTGCGTCTTTAGTCCATTTTAATGATTTAACTCTAACTTTGATGTTGTTTTAAAAAATTTATGTCAATCTAAAAAGTTGGTTTATTAAACAAAATCAAATGTGAAGTCTTCTTAAAACTTTTGTTATCATTTTGGGGTTTTCAATAATTCAAGGTTCACTCCGGGTTATGAAGGTGCAAAGCCTGAGAATTGGAAACTCAAGGCTACATTTAAATAATTTATGAGAAGAAAATAGAATTGAAAAAACTACTTTATACACATGGGCAAAAGGTATAATACCACAGTTCTTGTTCATAATATATTAGATATTATACTAGCTGCATGTGCAGTGTGCACTTGTGTATATTTCGTAATTCCCTTATTTACATTTCTTACAAAGTTCCCAAAATTTTTTAAAAAGAATAATTTACAATTTTTTATTGTATTTAACCTTTACAATTACATTTTTTTAAATTCCTTTTCCTTCTGAAGACAATATAACAATCAAATATTTTACAAATCTACTTTCTAGACACTAGATAGACACAAGACGTTAGACAATAGACAATAAACAGTAAACACTGGACACTAGACACAAGACATTAGACAATAGACAATAAACGCTGGACACTAGATAAACACAAGACATTCGACAATAGACAATTAAGGATGGACACTAGACAATAGACAGTAAATACTGGACGCTAGACACAAGACATTAGATAATTGAAAATAAACGCTGGACGCTAGATAAACACAAGACATTAGACAATAGACAATTAACGATGGACACTAGACAATAGACAGTAAATACTAGACACTAAACACAAGACATTAGACAATAGACAATAAACGCTGGACACTAGACAATAGACAGTAAATACTGGACACTGGACACAAGACATTAGACAATAGACACTAGACAATTCGACACTAGACAATTCGGCACTAGAATCTAGACACTTGGCTTTAGAAACTAGACATGCGGAATACGGAATAGGAAGACACCATTTGAGCAATTTTTTAAGTATATGATGTTGCTTATACCGGAAATAGTTTTACAAGAAGTTGAAAATCAATTTATGGAGTGAAACAGTTCTGTGTACACTGCACAATTACTGTACTTCTTGTTCAGTTGACTATTTGAAATCGTCTTCGTATTCCACTTTTTCATGGTAACCCCTGTTTCCCTAACCTGACACATTAGAACAGCAGTATCTCCCTCTTCAACTCTCAGTGGATTCTCAGGACCAATAGAAACACGAGGAAAATCTAAACAAAACTAAATTATTAATTTGTGAGAAGTAGTAATAGAAAATTTTGGCTAGTTGAACTACCCCTGTTGGGTGCTGCCAATTCCAACTTGAACTAATTGGAGAATAGATAAAAATATCAAAGATTTACACGCATCAGGATGCAAAGATGTAGGGATTTTTTTTTCTTGCATGTGCTCAATTCCTTTGTAAACATATGATAAGTAGTTGAAATAGCTACGGCTAGTTAAAAGCTGCTGACATCCTCCCAGAATATATTTAGGTAGAAGCAAATCGACCATAAACAAATTCAAAATAAAATGTTAGAACTTACTTTTTAAAGAATAAGCAAATTTATTTTTTAGGGTGTACATAATAAAACATATTTTTACAAGAATTATTTCAGAAATTTAGAAACGCCAGGGGGCTCAGCGAGCAAAAGCTGTGGTACTATAAATAAAACATAATAAACATAATAATTACACTTTTGATTTATATGGAGGGGGGG